ATTGATTTATTCATTCATTCGAGATATGACCACTCACTCGTAGGACAAGTTAATTTAAAAAAAAAAAAAGAATGAGGATAGAAGTAAATAAAAATAATTCAATTTCAAATCGATTATTTCTGCGACCCTATCGATTATTATCTCTAATATACTCTCGCTTGAGATCGATTCTATTTCTAACGAACATATTTATTAATAATAATTATTAAAGGAAAGAAAAAAAGGAACGTATATGCAACATTTGAAAGATTTTATGTATCGTTGGAAACAAATGTTTACAAAGAAATTACGATAAAAATATGTTCATGATTTACACGTGTATGTAAGTATACGTGTATATACTTACTTACTTGTCGAGAGTTCATCGTCAGGATCGTTGTATTTCCCAAAAACTATTTTTTTGATAGTACGTGTAAAAATGGGGGAATACAATGATTTCTCAAGCGGGAGAAAGAGAAAATGAAAGACACAGAGTGAGAGAGAGAGAAAGAGAGAATGAAAGAGAGAGAGAGAGAGAGAGAACTATAAGATAGAAAATGAGCTTCAAACAAGTAGTAGAAAAATGTAGAATGAGAGACTGTTATCAATAGTGCATAATGTAAATTAAAGAACAAACAAAAAAAATTGATTGATAGATGACATCGAGAATTGTGTAAATGTGAAAATGTCTTGTAAGAAATATTCATATCAGTGAAGAAGAGAGGTAAAAACAATTATAAAAAAAAAAAAATCTAAAGAAATAAACAAAACAAAAAAATAGAGAGAATGATTGTTTGTAAGAAAAACAACTATTGTTAAAGAAAATAGTAAAAAAATAGTCGACAATTTTGAACAATAGAAAAATGCGAAGAAATTTCGATACGTTGTTCGAATTTGAGCTACCGATTAAATAAAAAAAAAAAAAAAAAATACGCGAAAACAGAAGTAACAAACAGAAGATGATAAAAAAAAAAAAAAAAAGGAAATAATATACAAGAAGCTTTCAAGTACTTTTTATTATATCGTAAATCATCTCTTTTGTCGCAAATTTTATCGCGAAACAATTGTATTTGAATTTCTCGCTTCAATTGGAAATGTTGACGACGATATGATAACGATGGCTTGCTTTTTCAAAATTCGCTTGTGCATTTAAAATTAAAGATAAATAAATAAATGAATGAATGATAGAAAGTTAGAAAGAAAAAGAGAAAAAAAAATGTCTAACACACATTTAATAATATCATTGACAATATTAATTATCCACCACGAGATATCTAAAATAGAAATGTAAATTTAATGATCATTGTGCGGGTTGAATTATTTATCATTCTTCGTTAATTAAATAAAAAAATTAATTAATTAATTAAAAATAAAGAAGAATCAGAACGAAAGAAACGAAGAATACAAGCACACACATACAAACACGCTCATGCATACATGCATAAACATACCTATATATATATATATATATATATATATATGTATATATACAACGTGGTGGGCTATCAATCATTTTTTATTAAATAAAAAAATTTCTTAACTTGAATAAAAGTTTTGTAGGGGATTAAAAATATTGATTACTCTTTTTCGAAACCTTTTAGGCAAATTATTTTTGTTAAATTATAAAACTATGAGCTTAGCTTAGCTTAGCTTTTAACATTTACAACCCTTTTACACAATGATCCTAAAATCACAGGAAAAAAAGTAATTAATTATTAGAACACCTATGAACTTTTTTAACCCACCTTCTATACATAAAAAAAAAACAATATATACATGTATGTGTGTGTGTGTGTGTATGAAAATTTATATTACTCGTTGTTGATCGAAAATAAAGAAAAAAGATCGAAAAAAAAAAAATTGAAATCGTTGATCATCCCGCACAATGTGATTGTCCATTAAAAGGCCTATCGTAAATAAAAATAAAAAAATAAAAATAATAAACCATGAATAATAAGGAATCGCGATGTTAATTAATAATTTTTCATAATAATGAATTATATTGTACTTAAAATGATTTCATTTAAGCGTCTCTCATCGCGCGCGAAACGTTTGTCATCACTCTCTCCCCCCCCTCCTCCACACACATACACACACGTATAAATAAACATTTAATAATAAAAAATTATTTATCATATGAAAAACGAAGGTCTGACTTGTTCGATCGAAGCAAGAACATTCGATGAATAAAAAATGAAATGATTTATACAATTAAATATAAAAATTCAAATGTTATTATTATTAATTATTATTAATAATATTAATATTTGAATAAGAGTTAAATTAAACAAAAAATTATTATTACTTTATTATTATTATTATTATTATTATTATTATTATTATTATTATTCTCATTCGAGCATTGAAGTTTCATTCGCACTTGTTAGCTTTCGAATAAACCTTCTTGTTTAAATGGTACGTATGTAAAAAAGAAAATGATAGAGAGTGAGAGAGAAAGAAAGAAGGTAGAGAAAGAAAAAGAAAAAAAGAAGAAGAAGAAGAAGAAGGTACAAGCGCGAATTTAATATTTAAATAAATAAATTCATATATATATATGTACGTATGTACGTATGTACGTATATACATATATACGTAGGGAAAAAGTTAATATTGTTAAAATGAAATAATTGAAGAAGATAGGACATTACGGAACATAAATAAAATATATAATTAATTAAAAACAGCGAATCGATCGATACTCGTTTCAATAAAAAAAAAAAAAAATTTAATCGACAAACAGCAACAACAAAAACGACGAAAATTGAATTTAAATATCACGTTCCTCGTTTTGTTCGAATGTGTTCGAACTATTTTAAAAAGTAAAGACATTATAATAAAAAAATAAAATAGAACGAGAACGAGAACGGGAACGAAAACGATTATACATGTATAAATATTAAATAATTTAGTACATAAAAATCTCTCGCAAAAAAAAAAAAAACATTATAACAACAACAAGAATAAGAAAAAAAAATTGTAAGTTATCGTAGTAAGTTCGAGAAATATCCGCCTTATTATAAATCATGAATATGAAAAAAAAAATCAAGGGATACTGCGAAGATGAGATGTTACGATGGTTGAAAGATTATTCACACGCGATTCCATTAAAAAAACAAAAAAAAAATTAAACCCCTCCCCAAAAAAAAAATAAAATAAAATAAAATAATATAAAATATAAAAATAATAATGCAATTAAAGTAAAATATAAATAAAGTAAGAAAAAAAACAGTATCGCGCGTATCGTCGCTATGTAAATATATTATTACACAATGATTACAAGAAAAAAAAATAAATAATAAAAAAATAAATATAACAAACAAACAAAATGAAAAAAAAAAAAAAAAAAAGAAACAAGTTTCAAACGAGAAACGACGCGAAAGAAAAGAAATGAAAAGAATTGAGGAAAAATCTGGTGTTCGCGTTTAGCTTTATCGATATTGAACAAAAAATATTGTAAATATGTCCTAATTATATTATTATATTTTTGCTTGTGATAATCGATTAGAAATCCGAGAAAAACTAAATTTTACGGAAGAAGGGCCGTACATTACATCAAATTCGTTGCATTATATTTTTTTAATTTTTTTCTGTTTTTATTTATTCATTTCTTATAGAATCTTTTTTCCTTCTTTCTCTCTCTCTCTCTCTCTCTCTCTCCCACACTCTTTTTCTCTTTCTCTTTCTCTTTCGCGTGTTAAAATTACGCGCACGTTGTTTCTGCCGGATATAGCGTTTTGCTATTCTTCCGCAATCATTGTTAATTATTATATATATGTATATATATATATGCATATATATAGTGCCGAGATAAAACTAAAGTTTGTTCTAATAACATTTTTACACTAGTAAATCTGTAAAAGAAAAAATCGGCCTGTTTATCCAATTTTGTTTGTTTTGTAAAATTTCACAATTATAAATTCTCAAGTATAGCATATAAATTTTAAATAATGAAGATTAAATTGGTCTATAAATGAAAAAAATATTTAAGAATGTATCTTTGAATAATTTAAAAAAAAAAAAAAACTAACTTTTAGAATACTATAAGAAAATTTAATATCTGCTAATTTTATTCAGCACTGTATATACATATATACAAAAATATATGTAGTGTATATATTTATACATATATTATAATATATATATATATCAGGGATCGAATGCACGACCGAGTTCATCTGTGATTTAAGTGGAACTTCGATTCCCTTTTTATCAAAATCGTTTTATAAAAAGAGAGCACGTTAAATCTGAACCGATGAACCGTAGACATTTTATTTTCATTAATATTTAAATATGCCTCTCTTTCTCTCTTTCTTGTGGTATAATATCATCTTACTTATTCTTTATTTGATCTTTTTTCCTATTATTTGTTTGTTTTTATTTATATATTTTATTAACTATATTTTCTCGGCCGTGCTTCGAAAACGAGCCCTCTCGCACACATTAAAAAATATTGTAAAATTTAGCGAAAAAATATATTATATTATATTATATAAATAAATATATATATATATACGAATCTTCGGTTCAGAGATAACATCACATACACATACACATATACACACATCCATACACATAAGCACACCTGACAAGTATTTGCAATATCATATGTGGCGAAGTATACATATAGTTATTTAGTATCAGATATTTTATTATATATTAGCAATAACTCAAATAACGTACTCGAGAGGAGAAAATTAAATAATAAAAAAAAAAAAGAAGAAAAAACAAAAACAACAACAACAAAAACAGCAATCGATAAGAGATCAGTTAGATTTTATCATATAGGAATCTTTTTGCTTGTTTTATCAATATTATGATATTATTATTATTATTATATATTATAAAGATATTATATATATATATACATACACACATATATATATATAATTATTCCTAAATAATAAATATTGGAGTTTATTGCTAAATTATGCAGTAAATTTTATTACGGTTGTACAGGTTCCTTATCAGTCATTTTCTTTCCTATATATTTTATGTTTTATTATTAATGGTAAATTTAGGAATACGTTGTATCAGTTTATTCAACCAAATCATACTATTTTTATACATAGGATTATATTATTATTTATTATTATTATTTTTCTTATTATTATTATTATAATTATTTACATATTTCAAAGACTAATTATATAGTAATTTCTATTGTTTATTACTTTACATCACTTTGTGGAGACACGGGTGCGTTTATTCCATGCAAAGTTAGATCCATATGTTCGTGGTTTTGGATCAACTTTGTTTGGCTTTTGAATATAATATTTCCAACCCATTCTTTCGCAATGCAAGATAGCAGCTTCTTTGGTAGCAAAATCAACTTTTACATTTGACAGTGGATCTCCCCTTAATAGAAATATTATTTGAATCCGATAACATTTTAACCATTGATTTAAATATGTTAAAAATCATTGAATACAATTATAATAACTATTACTCACGTTGAAGTCCATCCGATTAATGGATTTTCCCAACGCTCACGCGTTTCAAAATCTATTTGCCAGTAGTTTATGTTGTTGGTTCCAGATTGCATAGCATTCTTAGGTGGTTGATAAATACGTACCATTCGAGTCTTAATATGTTCTTCAGGTACTCCTGACACTGCACCAATGTCTTCTGTAACTGGCACAGTAATATTTTTGTCTATACTTTCTTTAGTTCCTGGTAAGTATGGATTATTCACTACGTGTGAACTCAATGCTCCCACAGAATACATTTTAGTTTTATTTTCTTTGAATCCATCTTCTTTTTTCAATTGTATGCTACTCGTTGAAAATAATTTCATAAATCTGCAAAAATGTTTAAGAATAATGTACAAAAAGAGGTTCATAAAAAAAGGATAACAATATCTTATTATCAGAGTTATGTAAAAGTATGAGGTTATGATTATTAGATCATGTCAAAAATTAATGATACAAATTAAATGTTATTTCATTTTAATTTACCGTTCGTTCCCATTGTCACTTAATCCATTCGTGCATCTTCGTAATAACGCACGATAAGCCATTTTTTGTGGGTTAGTTTAAACTATTTTTCGATCAGCGAAACAACATACGTGAATAAATACATTGATCAATCTCGAATTTAGTAAGAACTCGAACTGAAGTTAGACGCTTACGACTCATATCAGATTTTACGCGCGAAATTCAAATTTCCTTTTCGTGCTCGGTGTTACCTTAACAAGAATTATACACATAAAAATTAATATAAAAAAAATCTATATTCGTATATTTCATTAATTGTTATTAAACCTAATTAATGTTAAGTAAAAAATATAAACGAAACGAGAAAATAAAAATAAAATTAATAAAATGTTTTTACTCGCAAAGTGTATTGAATTATTGAGATGATATTTTAAATATGAAAAGGACGATTTGTAAAATAAAAAAATAATAATAATTGACTTACTAAATGATAAAAAGATGATTAAATAAATTGGGTCCATCAGTTATATGTCATGAAATACGCATGCTCGGTATACTTTTTACTCCCACCCCTTTAACGAACTGCATCATGCAATGGATCATGCTTCTTGGGCGCAACCATTACGAAGAAATGCACTTGGTCTAAAAGTGATACATTGCCAAATCTAAGAATCTCTGTTAGTTTTAATTAATCGTGTCTCATAAACGTTCGTGCAAAAGGAAATAGAGTGAGGATGCAGGGTAAAGTAAGTCGATTGTTATCAATTTCGAGGGTTGAAATAATCGAATAGATAGTCTCGATTATTATCGAAGTATTAGTACTTTGTTCCGCGTCCTCTCGGACGTATCGATCAGAGCTTGGGAACTGTTGCTAACAGCTGTTGCTTTAATTCCATGGCACGAGATCTTTTCTACTCGACAATTACAACCCTTTTTATTATTATTTATTAGATTTTATAATAAAAATCAATTTATAATAAATAATACAAATATGTATACATAAATGATATATGAAAAATATTAAAAGAACATATTTAACAAATATTACTTTTGCAAGCAAGATTACTTAATCTAAATATATATTTTTTCATTTGAATTATTCGTTTTTCTCTGGGTCTAATTTATTTTATTCAATTAAAATCAATCAATGACACGATTGAAGAGAATTCATCTTTTTAATAGAATTTTTATATATTTTGATTGAAATAAACATTTTTATGTTAACAGTAAACGTTTTAATGTTTAACAGGACAAAACGGCATTCTTTTTATCAGCGATATTAATTTTATGCATTGGCGTTTATTATACCAATGCGAGGCACATTATATCGAAACGAAATTACAGTGATCAGAGTGTCAGAGGATACTTGGCAGAGGTAGGCCAATTAGACGATTAAAAATATTTAAAAAATATTAATGCTGCATCAATTAAACATATTGACTTTTAACAAACGAATTAAAGAGTTTTCGTAAGATTTGTTTTAAAAATGATAGCAACCAATGTTTGTTTTTTAAAAGAGGGTATGCATCCCCTTCCTTTCTTTTTGCTTGCTTGCCGAAACTGATGCAACTAGTTTTATCTTAAATATTATCTACAAAAGTTGATTAAATATTGATCGACAAAATAATCTTATGATGTTTAAGATAAATAACAAAATATCTAAGATTATAAATATATGAGTAGAAAATGATTAAAAAAAAAAAAAAGAAAACAATAGTTGATAATAACGTTGGATATTATAGAGGACCTGTTGGTGGAACGAAGTATGTAAAGAAGAATTTCATAGTAAATTTCGTTGTCGGTGTCCAAGATGGTCTTATTGTCGTTCTCCTGGAAGATATTACGATGCACATTGCAGCATGACGCGCACCGGTTATATTTGGACTCAGCCGGAAACCTCGCTAACTCTGGAAATCGATAAGTAACCGGGACAACATATACATATGTATGTATTGAATATTTAGTTCTGTTTACGATATGCCAGATATCGTTTTTAATCGAATCCAATCTTCTTCTACTACTATTACCACCATCCACCTCTACCACTACTACTTTCACATGATTTTTAATCTACATTGTTATTGTACGATTCGATAAACGAATTTAATACGATTAGAATTTAACGAAATGAAATCAAATGAAATGAAATCAAATGAAACGAAGTGAAATTAAATGAAAATGAAATTTTAGAAATCTTTTGAACATTTTTATGTAGCATCATAGATAAGATGATACGATTAGTATGTTGACTAAATCTATTATAATAATTATTCAATTGATAATATTCGCACAAGTTATTCATGCGGCACCATGTTGTTATTAATCTAATAATAAGATAATATTCGTGATATTTGAATATTTTTTAATAAATTAATTCTCATTATTAATTAACGTTCGATTTAAAAGAAACAAAAAAAAATGTTCAAGCGTGATATTCGATCTTGTATTACACACGTATTACATACTATACACGCGTTATTGTTATTAAAAATAAGGCACATACACATGCGATTCTTCATTACTGCCATAAATTTCTAATAGAAAATGTTAACAGAAAAATTAATTTTATTCCTATGGAATAATATTAATAAWAATAATAAGAATTATTATAATAATAATAATAATTATTATATTAATGTATTAATTTCATCGCAAATAACATCGAATTTTTCGAAAAAAGAAAAATATATATATATAAATATCTTGCACTAAGTTTTATTTACGTCTTCCAAATTGACGACGATGTTCGTAAAAAATAAAATAAAAAAAAAGAAGTGTTAACAAATTTATGTGCAAAATTTGATGAGCTAATCAAACGTTTCGATTGTATAAATATTTCGCATAAATTATTGAATAGTTCGATTTCTAGTATTTATTAATGCCTAACTTTATTGTAAGCCTCAAAATTATTAAACATTTTAATAAAAAATATTTATGACGTCATTTAGAATCATCTTCTTGTGTTTCAATTCAGTAATTATTTATTTTATGACATCATTCATTTGAAATAAAAATCAAAGTGAGCATTGTATTATCGATGCTAAGTATTGCACAATATTGCAAGACATAGCTGAGAAATTGAATTTATTATATTTAAATTTGACAATTAACGATCATATAAAATCTTTTGAATTCTAAATATAAAACAGATCATTTTTGATCTATCATCTATAAAATACAATTAATTTTCAAACGATCTAATATATTATTATATATAAACAAAATATATTTATATATCACTGCCACACACTTGCTATTTAATATAATATTATTATATTTAATATATATATATAATCTCTTTGAAATGAAATGAAAATCAAAATCTTTGAAAGTTGCTTTACTATATCACGATTTCTTAACGATTATATTATTATAGAGATAATAGATTAGAACACTAAGGATCGATTAGACCAAAACTAGATAACGTTGATAAAGGAGATGCAATTTTTGTGATACTATTCTAATAAAGTTACAAAAAAAAAAAAAAAATAGAAAAAAATAAAAATCAATCAAAATTGTACTTTATCTTATGTATATCAATATCTTAAAACATGTTATAATAAAAATATCTAAATAATAAAACGAAATATTATCATTTATTGTATTACACATATATATGCAATATTACAAATTTAATTTTTCAAATTAATTCGAATAATATCGCGTTCGCATGAAAAATATTCCTTCATTAAAGAGAATGCACGATCGAAATTATCTAACTTTATCTCATTTTTATCTACCACAGTATTTTTATATACAATTTATCACAGATTATATTGCAACATATTAAGAACCAAATAAAAATACTTAAAATTCAAAAGAATATTTTTACAAATAATTAAAATAATAAAATTATATATTGAACTTTATTTAATTTTTATTTACCACAGAGTATATTTGAAATATATTTTAAATTATAACCAAAATAAATAAAAATAAAAGTAAAAGTTTTTATTTTAAATTAAAATTATCTTGTTGTATAAATTATTGAAATAAAAATGAGTTTTTTAATTTTGAAGAAAGGAATAATAAATGAAAACACGACGTGACGTTGAAAGGATCAACGAAATGTAGTTTCCAAGATCAAGGCTAATAAGATACGAATAGTACATAGCACGTATTACGTAAGAGTGACTTTGTCAAGGTCAAGAGGATCTCGTCCAGGAAAAATACGTAGTACATAATAAACTATCTGCGCAATTTGGCCGGGATCGTGATATCAGTTTTAGATGCGCGCGCATATCGATTGGCCCACTTGTTCGAGTGGTATGATGAGCAGGTCCTGCCGCCGGATCCTGGACCAAGTGCAGTTGGTTTTAAACGATCGAAACGAGAGCACGTTTACCAGCTGCCAAACTAAAAATCACTTTAACGTTCAATTATTTTCTTTAGTTCAGTTATATTAATTCTTCTCAAAATTATAAAGTTCAATTGTGTTAACATTTTTATTAATTTTTTGCAACACGGACCTTTCAATTATTTCTTTATCTTACATTGCATATAAGTTTGTTATCGTTTCTCTCTTATTTGCAATATCTCGTTCGATAATTGTTGATAAAAGTATTGTTTGAAATAATAAAAGAAATAAACAAGGAAGAAAAGGGTAATAAGTGTTTCGATCGTTTAATCTTTAAATTTTGTTCGAATTTGTATTTATTTTGAATTTGTATTATTACGTTAAATTATTTCTCATATCATTTTGCAATTTGCGCATGCGTATGCGCGAATTATTGATTTTAAAAGGAAAAGTTTGGAGTAAATCAGTCATACGTGAGAATCGAACGTCAGTTCAATGCCGAGAAAAGTCACCGGTCAAATACTTTTAGTTTTTTTAAGTTTATTTCTTTTCAATGACGTCAGCTCGGGATCATTCGATGATGGGAGTGATCTCCTAATAAAACCAGTGAGGTTAACGGAGTATTGGGATGAATATGCTTCTGTAAGTTCAACACAATTATTTTTTATTATTTCTTTTGTTAATTAATTTGTTCCCTTTTTACAAAAGTTCTTCTCATTGTAATTGTTATTCATTTTTGTAGCAAAGAGAATTGACACCGATAAAAAATGTCTTTTGGCAAGGACCGACACATCTTGGTCAGATATCTGGAGTCTCGGTGGATCCTTCAGGATATCCTGTGATCTTCCATCGTGCCGATCGAATCTGGGAATTCTCGTAGGCATTTCATTTTTTATATTTTAAATATATTCTTTTATAACATATATAAAATCTTTAATGCAAACGTTATGGCAATGAAATTAGTTTTAATACTTTTATATATAAATATATATATGATATATAATATATATAATATATATAATATATATAAAAAAGAGATATGATTGGTACGAAGTAAAAAAAAAAAGCAAAAAGAATATATGTAATAATATTAATATTATTATAAATTATATAATTATTGTAAATATAATAATATTAATATAATATATATTTATATTTTTTTTATGTATTAAATTAATAATTTAAAATAATAATATAATAATGATAAATATTTAAAATAATAACATAATGTATATATATATATATTAGGATGGGTCAAAAAAATGACTTATTTTTTTTTTTCAAGTACCACGGAAAAATGGGTTGCTAGACACTTTAAAACAATTCTCACCAAATATGAGCTCTTAATTTTAATAGGAAGATCCTCCGCATCGCAGTTTTTTATTTTTTTTTCAGTCTAATAGATTAAAATTCATACCATTATATATATAAATAATAAATATTTAAAATATATTATTATTTTATATTATATTATATTATTATTTTAAATATTTATTATTATATATATATTTACAATTAGCGTAGAAATAATGAGAGACAAAATTTCGTATGTTGAGATAGTGAGAATAAATTTTGACATATTTTTTTATATGTATAATAAGAAAAAAAATGAAAGTATATGTAAATATATGTATAGATAAGTAAAAAAATGACTTATAGATAACGACTGCGTTTAGATGATGATAGTTACTTATATAAAATGTACAAATTTGATTAAAGTACCTTCACAAAAGAAAATGTTTACACGGAAAGAGACAAAGGACCGATCACTGAAGATACCGTACTAACGTTAGATCCAGGCAGTGGGAATATTTTACGTGGTTGGGGAAGAAACATGTTCTATTTGCCGCACGGTATACATGTTGATAATTTTGGAAACGTGTGGTTGACCGATATTGCTCTTCATCAGGTTTTTAAGGTAAGTTTCTTTTAATTACTCTTTGTATTCAAAACTAAAATTCATTAAACAAATTTGCGTGCTATAGTTATTAGGATTATTTGCAAATCATTAAATTACACTAAAAAAAAAAAAAGTAATTGTAACTAATTAATTATTAGAATTTAAATACCAATTGAAAACCAATAAGAATGATAAGAAAGAAATGATTTGTACGAGTTAATTCTTGCTTGTTTTTAATTTTATTTTCTATTTCGATTTCAAATAGTTTAATAGTTCTGGAAGACTGAAGTTAATACTCGGGAAACGTTTCAAGCCAGGAAATGATCTCAATCATTTTTGTCAACCAACATCTGTCGCTGTGGCCCCATTGAACGGCAATGTTTTCATCGCTGATGGATACTGTAATAACAGGATTGTTCTTTATGATTCTATGGGAAATTCAATAAGGAGCATTGATGAACGTACGTTTTTGTCTTAATGTTGTTACAAAATTCATTCATCAATAATTAACATCATCGTTTTAATTTTTTCTGTTCTACACTCTTCAACCTTTTTCTCTTTATTTTTTCTTATCCTTTTATTGTATTGTTGTCCCTTGTTTTATCAGGTCCTCAGTCCTTATTTAATTGTTTAAAAATACATTATATTCGACTAAGATATTTGTTTGCTCGTTATTAATTAAAATATGGTCTTGAAATTGTTTTTATATTAAATTATAAAAATGACTTTTTTCGAATGAGTTATTATTTTTGTAATATGTATATGATTCTATTCAATTTGATTTGTCATAGATCATTGACAAATTTTAGTCAATCAAGATAGAATAATTAATATTAATCAAATGAATGTATATTTGTATAGATCCGCTTGTTTTAAACATACCACATTCATTAACGATATTGTCAAACGGAGATCTCTGTGTTGCTGATCGAGAAAATGGCAGAGTCATTTGTACACTTGGACTTGCTGGACTTAGAACTAAATACATTGGAAGAAAATATTCTATTCCAGTTCGTGGCCGAATTTTTGGTGTTGCTTCTTACAGTAAGTTTTTTTATTATAATTGTTCATTATTATTATTATTATTATTATTATATATTGTTTTTAAACATAGAGTAAAGGGTCAAAAGTTTTGATTTAACATTATTTATTTCAATATTATTCAAAGATTAAAAAACTTTTACGAGTATTTTATTTAATATAAATAATTAAAATAATTAAATATTAAAATTTTTTTTTTTTAACAATTGTCATGATAAAAATTAATAAGATTTCTAGTATTTATATATATATATATATATATATTTAATAACGAATATATAAATAATTATTATAAAATGTTATATATAAGAATATGTAATTATACGAATATATATTTTATATATTTTTATACATTTTTATATTTTATTATATTTTATATTTTATATTTATTTATTTAATATTATA